TCATTTGCAATTGTCTTATCTATTGAACCTAACGCTGTTTCTATTTTGGGAATTACATCTTCTGATTTCAATTCATTAACCACTACATTGAAGTTAAGACCTTTCTCTAGCACTTTCACTTCTGTTGAGTTTACGAATCTACTTGAGAGATTGACAACCCACTTTGACTTAGCGATCATTGGAGATATGCTATTGGTAATTTCATTATTGTTGACTCCATGCTTTTCTTCCATAAGTTTGTTGAACTTTTTAATGAGTATTTTTAGATTTCTTGAATGCAGTTGACCTTGCTTTTTTGAAATTGTCCATCAGAAGGTCATAATCTTTTTCACTGTTTGCATCAGCTTACACTTAAGACCTTCAATATAATCCCTGATGTTGTGCAACTTTTTGACTATTCTATGCATTTCTTTTTTAAGATAGAGTTTACTGACATGTTCTGTTGAAAGAAGCAAGAAGACAGATAAGTAGGAAGGAATGTTTATTATCAGCAAGTGAGACAGTAGTCATTAAATATGGTACACCTTGCACTAAAACCATCATTTACAGAATGCGCTTCATTTCCTCTTTTGCTTCTCTCTTGATTTGCTCCTCTCATACGCCTGCATTGTCTCTTGGCAGAATCCCTATGATTTCTGCCGCCCTCTCAACATATACCACTTATATCCATTTTTATCAGCAACGCCCACTACACTATAGCTGTTTTGACTGTCTGTTGGAGTTCAATTCGTTAACATTTCATAAACCAGGCAGTTTCATTGGTTTTCTTCACGCAGGAGGTATGGTTATTAATTTAGTACTAAATGATGTAAGCGCTTGTTGGGTCACGTCCTCAGTTGATTCGTAGTAACAGAAATGTATCGCATAGAATGTACAACTATCACTTAGACACAATGCACTTCGCAACATTATGTTTCGTGATAAATAAATCGGATCTCTCCAGAAACTAACCAGTCCTTGGTAGTCGGAACTCATATGATTAGAAGCTAATGTCCCATTGGATGAGCAAAGCTAATACACTAATTAACAGTTGAATAGTAAACAGCATTATACCATTTAATCTTTCTTAACAACCAAATTCTGCCTACCATTTCTATGATGTGATCAGTAACCCGTCACTGTAGCGCAGTGCATTTGACACCGGTGGTTGATAAAGATCCTTAGACAAATTTATTTTCATCAAAGTTTTTAAAGATGCTATACAAACAAATTCTGGTAAGCACATTAATTCCGGTGTGATCATATAACATCAAATAAAATTCACCACACTGCCCAACCACAACATGCTTAGTGTTCACATAATAAAATTTGCCGATGCAATTCTACGGATACTTAGAAGTTGGCTATGTGACAATGGCACGCCATACCTATATTTACCAACTAGTTGTATTTTAAGGAAATGATTGAGTCCGTTTAGCCTAACTATGAATGGGTTGAAATGTTTCTGAGTGGATCACAGACTCTTACTAAGAATAAGACTCAAATATTGGCAGTTGATGAAGACATAATTTGGTCAGTGAAACAATGCTGGAGTAGAGATCACAACGGGAGACAATATTCCTGGTAGATAATACAGCGACAACAACTGTCAGACGTCAAGGTCCAACATACCGTTTGCTATTCAGTTACTAACAAACTATGAAGTTAATCTATGTGAAAGGTTAATTACTTTGAAACCATTAGTATAACCTTTTGTTACGCAATACCAAGAAACAGAGTTCACATCATTCGTATATGAAATCAACAGGTTAGTTTTATGTGGAGTTAGTATGCAGTCCAGGTTTAAAGACGATTGAATCACGCTATTGGTACTTGGCTGTTGGACACCTAAGGGGTAGCATAAAAACACATAAAAGCACAATAATATCAGGTTTGATTCACATCTCATTGCATAGACTTATGCTAAATCGTTATTTTCAATAATTACCTTTGATGCTATATGTACAGTGAAATCTGTTGTGTCAGTCTTTTAGCTTATTGGGATTATGGATGGCCAAAATCTAAGATGACTGGAGAGATATGCCTTTAATATAGGTGTAAAACTTGGGCACTGTGGTAGAATTTAATTCATATTAGATTTATTTATTTATTCATGAATACGAACAAAATTTACTAGTGAAGAAGTAGTTTACTGTCAAGTTGTACAGTCGTATTTATAGTTGGTGAAGGAGACAGACAGTAACACTAAAACGTTGTTCAGTGAAAATGCATATAACTCAATTGACGGTGGTGATAGGGAAATAGTTTAATTCGATAATATACAAAAAGAGTCATTGAAAAAAAAGAAATTGATGTAAGAAGGTAAAAATATAGATAAATAATATTTTAAAAAGTGCGAAATGATAACAAAGTGAAGTGGGATAAAACGAATTATAACAATCCAGTATTACGACCAAGATAGAGAGATGGCTTTCACAAAATGATTTTCAATACGAAGTTTAGACTTTGAATCATGCACATATAGCTAGTACTTCACCTATCTGTCTATGAATAATTCACAGAAAAACAGACCTTTATAGTAAGTCAACTTAGCTCTGTGATTCACTATTTCAGTATTTGTATTTCCGAAGTGAATCAAAGAGGTTAGCTTTACTCATACTTCGGTATTTAGTATCTATAGCTTTATCAAAGTTATTGTAAACCAGAGTCTATAGTATCCACGCTTAGACATGAAAACTTGTTCTGAGTTTTTCTGTATCGATAACTGTGGTTTTAAAATGCTGAAAGCGATACCAACCAAATTACCCTCAAAGATGAATCACTGGAGCTGAATGGTCCAACTGCATTAAATGTTCACATATAAATGAAGCTATTGTTTTTTTAAATTGAAATGTGTAGTGTCCAACAGAGCATTTTCGAAAGACCTGCTTACAACATCCAATCTAGTCAGGTTTACAGGAGCATGTGAATTTATAGATGTGGCAACCTATCTTACAAACATTGTCAAACCATTATTTCACTTTGATCAACATTGTACACTTTTTTGATAGTATTTAACCCACATTTTACTTCTTCGGATCGGTTTTTCCTCTTTCAATGACTTTTATATTTTATTCAGTCCAACCAACACCTGTTTCCACCTTCTACTGTATCATGTGTACTTTGACTGAGTAACTTTTTCAAAGGAATTATCTATCTCTTTCACCAACTATAGGTGTGATTGTACAGCTTGACGATAAAATCGGTGAAGAGAAATATTTCTTCGATCATAAAATTCATCTATTTTATTCAAAAATATAAGTTAGGAATTAACGAAGTTGTCTATAGAATTTTGCATGACTGGGATATTAGCCCAAAACAGTTCTTAGGGATTTCTAAGGCATCAATCTGAACATTTCTAAGAAAACTCAAACACGTGCGGCAATTGACACGCTCTAGACTCTAATGGGGAGAACCACTTCCCTCAAGGTTACAGATATGTTTTACCGATGAACGCTGACAAGCAGGGATTCTTGGCGATCGTTTCCAACCGCCTAACATACTGTGGTAAAATGTGAGCGACAATTGGCAAGAAACCTGGGTGATGGATCCCTTTCAAATCTTCCACATTCAACTATCGATGGAAAAACATTGAGTTATGTGAATAAACAAACTTCTGTTTCATGCTTATCAATATACAGGGTGACATGAACAGAAGTTAACGCTAATTAGAATTTATTATTTTATTCATATTGAAAAGACATAAAACACATTTTTCTCTTCTTTTTTCATTGTAGAGCTGATGAGGTCAAAATTTTGTCAGGAAGAGAAAAAACCAATTTTTTAAAACCCACACAAGCCCGAAAAGTTTGACTAATTTGGACAATTTTTTAAATGTTTATGATGATTCTATTAGAGAGAGAGAGAGTTGAGTAGAAAGGCAGTATCATATAGGCCGTAAACAGAACAAGAGAGAAAATAAAAGTAGAAATGCAGTGATGACAATGGTGAAAACAGTTATAGCACTCGCGGTAACACCTGAACCATTCAACTTTGTATTCAGCAGAAAAGCGTTTATATTTATAATGGTTAGATACTGCCGGTTGAAATATATATGTTCTCAAAAGTTCTTGAATAAAACAGTAATGATAATGATCTTTTCTTCTATTAATTAGTTGTAGTGAGACAACCACTGTCTCCATCCTCTTCCAATAAACAAGAGGTAAAAGAAAACAATATTGCCTATATTTTACCAAATGAAAGTGTGAGGAAAATTCATGGAAATTTAATTATCAGTAGTGTTACTAGTAGTATTTATGTTGACAATAAAAAGTCAAATAAACTCGTAATTTTAATATGTATACTGGCAAAAATAATTTATAAGGAATAGCAGAGAACAAAGTTAATAGCATTTCACAGTTTTGAATTGTACTTCTCAAAAAATGGATCTATTCATGTTTGAGACTGATGCAGAGAAACAGGCATGTGGATTTTCAAAGTTTGCAAAAGAATTTAAATGAAGACCACCGGGGAGGTGTATCAACCAATAGAAATGAGATACACACACACACACACAAATACATATATATATCAGAGTAAACACACTCAAATATAAGTGTGTACATTATGATGGTGAAAACAGGAAAAAGAGGCATACTAACATACTTTTGTTCAATGAACAATTTGAAAAGCAGAACGAAGGTCAAGAATAGGTGGGGGAGGCGGTGATGAAGAGCACAGGACGATAAAAAGACAATCATAAAATATTACTAATGTTTAAAAGATTGAATAAGTATACATTACTGCATGAAATGTATTGGGACAAATTATCTTGACATACAGAAAACAGTGGATGAAAGCACAGACATAGGCTAAGTAGATAGACAGATGGTCAGAGCATGCTAATAGACTTAGAAAGCAGTGACAGTATAAGGAGACATGAATACAAAACAAAAAACAAAGCAAATAATTTTTTGTTGATAAAATGCAGTTGAAACGAATATAATCCTATTAGAAAATAAATAAGTAGTCAACCACTAATAAAACGCATGTTCAAGGTTAATTGACAAGTGTATAGTTGATTATATAGCGAGTACATCATCTTCTTCATTATTAGGCAGATTACTACGTCGCTAAGGGAAAAAGAAAGAAGACAAAAGTTAAAATGAATACAATTCAATAAAATAAAATAAAAAAACGACTGAGAAATTCATATACCATACCTGTGTATGAATAAATAATTAATTCATGAAGAAGGTGTTGACATAATTGACTGACAATTCAACGCGGAATATATACTATCGAACAAGATGAATAGTTAGAGAAACTGCACCTTTTGTTGACTAAATCTTTCATTTACTCATGAACGCATCATCAATGGTATATATGGACATTCAAATAACAGATTAATTAAATTATTCAAATCAGTTTGAGTAATTTTGCAGAAATAATGTTTCTCTATTTTAGGAAATACTTTATATAATTGAAAAGTAACAAAGTGTAGTGTAAACATGAACTTTGTTTGTGAATAATTTTCTCAATGTTCACTAATTTGATACAATGGTAGTTGTTGAATATGCTTATACCAATGATGAAATGAAAAACAAACCTGCAGAAAATTAAAAACCTGATATATTGACGTATATTATTCAGTTTGTCACAATTAACATCAGAACATCAACACATTGGCATTGTAGCGAACCCATTTTGGCACCAAAATAATACTGGGCTTAAAATAAATAAATAAACATTTAAAATACCTAAGTAATATTCATTATTATTTGACTATCTGCCGTAGTTTGGCAGACTAGTATTTATACTGGGGTGATGAATGAAGGTGAAATGAAAATTTGGACAGCGGCCCGATTTGAACTAGAAACCATCGGGTTTCCGACCAGATGCTCTACCAATTTAGCTACGAGGTCCAATTTGGACTACTTAGTTGGTAGAGCAGCTGGTCGGAAACCCGCTGGTTGCTGGTTCAAATCGGGCCGCGGTCCAAATTTTCATTTCACTTTCATTCATCACCCCAGTATCTAAATAATAGCTAAATGGTCTTTTACGGCATCGATGGGCGACTTTAGTTCTGTAAGTTTGGTTTAGTGTGTAGATATTCGCTGATCGACAGCCATTAGCTCAGTCTCTAGCTTAGCTATTAATAGACAGATAAGTCAACATTCTTCCCTTAATATAACCTCTTTACCTCTGACTAATAAATAAACTGCTTATTTGAGCGATTCTAATCATATAACATGTTCTCTAGTTTGCCTTTTGTTATCAGAACTTACACACACACAAAGGTAAGGTACTATTTAGTTTGTTACTGGCAGACAAGTGATTTACGTAAGTCTGGACAAGTGTTAGGCAACAGTAACACAAGCAGACTCTTACAGTTACAGACTCAACAAGAGAGAAAACATAAGAATAAATACTATAGCAGAAGTTGGCAAATCGAAGACAAAAAAACAATGATCAGGGGAATATATGTATATGATAGTAAGATTTTTAGGTCTCAGTTGAAGATATTTGGTGAATGCATAAGGATTACCACGGTCAATTTTTCACCATATCACTCACACAAAAACTTGTTTTCAATCAGTCTGACTTTCCAACATTGCTCAAAGTAATAGTCAGAGACGCTGCGGTTAAGTGTCATATCTTTGTATCGCCCTTTTCAGCATCTTTCTACTTCAATTAGTACATTATGTCACGATAGGTGATAACTCAATGTTACAGCTATTTCTGTTAGGAAAGGTTCACAAATTGGCAATCTGACTCCTCCACCTTAACTACGAATTTGCGCATAAATTTCATACTCTTCACATAACAGTAGTGGACAAATATATGCAGCCATCGTGGTGGCACAAATGAGGGAGTTAAAGCCAGTCAGGATCGGAAAGACAGCAGTGGAGATCTTCTGCACTCAGCAAAAGCGTGAACAACGTCCGGATTCTCAACACTAATTCAGTCGAATCAGTGCTTCTGTGTGGCTTAGAGACTTGGCACGTTACGAAAGGCATTTCCAACAAACTACAGACATTCGTCAACAACTGCCTACGCTGGCTCGATACTGAAGATGAGATGGCGAGAAAGAACAAGCAACAAGGAACTCTGGCCTGGCAACGAACCAACCAAGAACCTATCGCCCAATAAATATACAGTAGAAGGAAGTGGAGATGGATTGGGCATACACTGAGAAGGCCGACTGGGACATCATGCGTCAGGCCAGGCACTCGAGTGGAACCCAAATGGGAAACGACGAGTTGGGCGTCCGAGGGTGATATGGAGGAGATCGTGTGAGGAAGAAATGAGAGCTTGTGGGCAGTCGTGGAGCCAGGTTCAAAAGATTGCAGAGGACAGAGTGGAATGGAGACGTGCTACTGAGGCCCTATGTTCCACTAGAACCTAAAGGACAACTAATAATAATAATAATAATAATAATAATAATAATAATAATAATAATAATAATAATAATAAAGGTGTACAGTTGGATGGCACTTACCAGTTGGTGTTACGCATTGAGAGTCAATCAGAAAGCAGTAATTCACCCCAAGCCTGGTGCTTTTTGGTGCTCATAACTAAGGCATATCTAAAACTATGAAGAAATTGATATTCTCTCGGTTCGTTGAACCTGAATTCAGAAAATGTACCCGTGAACGATTCAGGCCATGACTGAACCCCTCTCAATGGGACTGGACTATTTACATGGATTTATGACTAGTGGATAAGTGACAAAGCTATCCAGTCCTAAGAGCGCAGCATATACAGAACTTGATCGATAGACTTCTGTCGGTGTTCAGACCTAAGGACTAAAAACTGTGTTATAACTCCGTCGCCACGGTTATATTCTTGTGGTGACTACTTGATATATGGACGCTTCAACAATGACTTTCAAATTCCACACCTTGATAGTCTCACTCAGTTATCACGATGAATGGGAAAAACGGTAAGATAACAGGTGCATTGCAACATCCATAAATATATACAAAATGCAAAGGCCTAAATATATTTACAATGGCCCTTCTAGATTTGAATATCTTATTGATTTTTGTCTCTTCAACCAATCTGATGTTTACACATTAGTTCACGTGTTTTTCCCCGAAACTCTGGAACGAAACGATTGGTTGTAACAGGCTTTAGGGATTCATGGCTTCTGATAAAGATTTTGTCAATCATACTGGATACCATAACAAACAGCTACATTGGTTAGTCACTATTGACCAGTTTGTATACTTTGCAGTTACTCAAACGAAAATTTGAACTCAAGATGAAAATAAGTAATTGTGCAAGGTCTTGAGTTTGTTGCAGTCAGTTGATCGGCCTACCAGTTAGGTGAATCATGTAATAATAAAACGCATACAAGAAAATAGTACACATACCGGCAATCTAGACAGACTTGATTTGAACGGTGATCTTGACAAATTCGATTGAGAATCCAATCCAACTGACATATATCAACAAATATATACAAAGGTAGCAGAAATAGGAACGTCAAATGAATATACATGAAATGTGTACTTATCAATAACTAAAACTATCCTATTTCCCCATATCACTGAAATGCAAAAACACTCAGTTTATTATTTAACTAAACACATAGCTTAGATCCAACTGTCAGCTTCTTGTGACAATTACTATCATTTCAGGTTGATACTCATCATGAACTGACACCAGTTGGAGGAACATTGAAAACCTGGTAGCACTGGACAGCTGTTTCGTCCTAGTATGGGACTCTTCAGTAATGTGCATTCATGGACCCCGGGGAATTTCAAGTTCCGTGGCCAGCAACATTACCATTGAGCCACTGGGTCGGTATCCAATGGTCCATATCCCCTACTTCTGTCAGTTCACGATATAGCACGACTTCCATCTAATCCTATCGTTGAATAACTGTCTTCATGTTCGAATTGGTTGGCGCCACCGGTCACGACTTCTCATTAGAACTTCGGGAATCACCTATCGAAGCAAGTTACCAATGAGTACTACATTAATTCAATATAGAGGTTTGTGAGAATTTATTCGTTTACTATCATGCTGATTATTTTCGAACTGTCAATTTTGATCTGAGAAAGGATTGAAATTACGAATATGCAGATGAAGTTGACTCAAAACCAAAACGAAATGTTGTAAACAAAGATGACACGCATATAGTCAGTTGAATTTTAAGAGGTTCAGTTACATCATTTGGACGATAGCGTAATACTTCACTATTTCATTAATTTACAAGTATGCACAGTGAAATCTACACACCTAAATTAGGTTAGAGGACTCATAAAATCCCCACCAACTCATCCGTAGTTCATTGGTTTAGGCAGTTGGTTTCCATCCAGTAAGTCACAAGTTTCATCTAGAGAGGTTTGGACAGCCAAGTTATATCACCAGCCTTTATAAAATAAACCATTTCAACTGATGTATTAGATCTATCACACAGTGAAATAGTGTTGCTTACTGGATAACACTTTGAACACAATTTATTGTTCAAAGTCAATATCAACATAACTCCACAACTTTGAGATATGATTTATATAGTTCTAATTCTCTTACCTGCTTTGTGATAAAGGTAGTAGAATTTCCTATATACCTCGAACAGGTGTCGAGTCATTCCTGTTGAACGCATTTGATATTGATTCGATTACGAACCTCGTCCTCCACTCGGGTAGGTTAATTCACTTTGTCTCATCCTACTGCTGTATGCTTATCTGTGATTCTATGCACAGCTTTTCTTCTAGATATCTTATTGTATTAAGGTTTACCAATCTTGATTTAGTCAAGTTTTTGATACAAAAAGTATAGTCCATTGCCTAAGGCAAGAGACTGCACATGGTTGTTGAGTTACCTTTTTCTACCAACGAATTTTTGATATTGTTTGTAGTATTAGATAACACATTGAGTTTAAAATTTCGGCACACATTATATGATAGAAAATTTTAAAAACATAGGTTAGAATGCGTCTAGGTTACAAGAAGAAGCTTTAATGACAAGTGTCAATGAGCAGAAAGGTTAGGTTCAAAGTATCTTGCTAAATGCTTTCGAAAATTGAATACTAGATTCAATACACTACAACTAGTAAAGCATACAGCAGCCATAGTGACTAAACTGCATAAACATAGTGAAGAGAATTCAGACTGCACAGAGGATTAGTATAATGTAACAAAGGTTATTACTGAGGTAAGATGGTTGGAGCCAACCAATCAACAGTAAGCTCTAAGATTATGTTTCCTTCTTGGTGCCATTTGTCAGAAAGTATCTGCAAAATCGAGGGGACTGATATCTTCATTACAGATCCTAATCTACATTGAAACTAGAGACATAACCATGGGGCTGTTAGGTCCCCCATTGTACATTACTATGCAATTAATGATTGATATCCACACACAAATAGTCACATAGAATGTTTGCTTACCTTGACTTTTGTTAGACAAATGTTTAGAAGGTGAAGAAGAAGAATAAGGCTCATAAATATTTGTATCACCACCAAGGAAATCAGCGAAATCTTTGCCTAAAAATGATGCCATTACACAGTCTAGATCCATACTAGATCTGTTATCATTGCTTCCGTTTGTTTTCGCCATCGATGTTATTAGTGTTGTGCGATCCAATTTCGAGTGTATATTACCTTTGTTTCAAAAAAAAAAACAACCAGAAAATAGAATAAAGTTGAAAGAAAAGTGCTTATAATAAACCAGTAGTAAATAATATCCAGTGGTAAGGCCGTTAAGTTGTATAAAGCAACCATTTAACAGTAAAAGCTTATTAAGAATAAACTCAGAGAAAAAGATAATTAGTACATTTCAATCTCTAGGCTTGACTTACTTGTTTGGAATTAGTGTTAGTTTGTATGCAGAGGGACAACAGAGGATTCTCCATTTGACAGAAAGATATTTCCAAACAAATCAATACTGATTTCGCTTAACGGTAGATGACCACGTAAGACTACTGATAAGTAGAACACTTGTGATGCTTCATAAGCTATTTAGTGCACCTTGAAACCTACTATCTTTAAATTGAGTGAATTACTTTTATTTTATACGCCTTATTGATGGCACTACAGTGATAACCTCATTGTTGCCATCTTCCAGTGTGATAAATCATCTTTTTACTGAGCAGAAAAGAATGGCAACTAAGTGACTTGTACACTAGAATTCAATCAGTTAGGTTAAACACGGGCTTATAAACTGAACGAATGAAAACAAATGTAATTCAGGAACCATGTTTAAGCCTATTTACTAATTTGTATAAAGGTTCATGATACCACGGAGGAGTCAAAACGAAAGAAGATAAGACGGGGATTCAAACTGATTGACAGTTGACTAATAATATCGATAAGGTACAACTTGACTGGGTTCACAATCTATTCACTGTTAAATCAAACTTAACGATTACACCTCACGAATTGAAAAGTAGGCAGATTGTTTCATAAGTATCACCTCAATATCATCATCAAGTAGTGTTAGAATACGTTCTAGGTGAATAGTCATATATTTCAGTAGTAAGAAAGAAAATCTCTTATTCCACATTCAGATTTATATTTGGTTGACTCACTAATTTAACTTTCCCAAAAACATGTCTCTATATACACCATAAATCACTTCAGACTGATCTTAATCCCATTGGTAAAGTTTGTTTCTTACCTACAACAAACAATACACAACAATCGGCTCAACAACTAATTTGTAAAAGAACACTATGGAATTCATAATCATTCTCATTTTATCTTCACACCAGGACAGTACTCATCACTATTGTAGTTACTAAGAGTACGAATAAGCCAGTAAGAATAGTTTTGGCTTAACTTTCCTAAACTAATCGATGACCATCTCAGACACTACATTAGATGGTGTGCACTTAGTGAATGACCAGTTAACTGAAAAGTTGGCCATGACATCCTGTAGCAGCTGAAGAGGACTTAGATGAGACGAAGCTGTTGACAACTACACCAAAACACAGCAGGAACCCATTAGGTTTCTTTCTAAGTGCTGGTTACAGTCATATAGGTTTCGTAGGTGGTATTCGTTAGAATCAGTGACTGTAGGGATGATTCAAAATGTTAGGTGGCCAAATCAGTTTTCCAAAAGGTCTCTGATGACTGATCTAAGACGTATGAGAAAATGTATACCTTTTGATTGGACTTCACAACACAACCGAAAAAGGTGGTGGAAATTTTAAATGATGTATAATTCGAATCAGTTGCAATGGTGTAGATGCAGTCATCCTTTTTCTTTGTATCTGAATACTTACATTGGTCTTCGGTCGTTTTACCTCTTTTTGTCTGCATATTATAGCTTTTTAACAATGACAACATTGTGAAAGCTGTTCAAAATATACAACTGACTGCCGTAAACAGTTGTAGACCACTCAGACCTATGAGCCAGATCAAGGTGGTCTAAACACCGGTGGCACCAAGCTCATCAGCTGTGAGGTCAGATAAATACACCTCAGACGGCCGAATTATTCAAATCACCTGAATTGTGGTTAACTACCTAGGTCGATTGGTTACACCCAGAATCGAATAAAACGATATGCTTGTTGGCGAGAGATTCCGTCATGGTTTCCGACATAAAAAAATATTCACACTACACAATGCAACTTGTCCGAAACCACAATCGGTGCCATGATTGCTAGCATGAAAGCTGTCCCATATGTATACAGATATAATTTCGAGTTCTTTGCGCTTCGTGTCATTGCCTTCGACCTTGATACACTAATGAGAGATGTAGCGACTCGTGTCATAACCGCCAGTAATAGTTCGCCAGTGTAATTACCTCTCAATTCCCCTGCTAGGCACCGAGTAGACTACACTGTAATGAATATTCGGGCAGTATCGAGGCATCTGCATATGACCTCATCTACAAATAGAGGTCGACCATTTCAATCCAGTATATCAGTATCAATAAACGATGAGCAGTACTTCTTGCACAAGAGGTGGCTCTTGTGCCGCAGTAGCCTAGCAGACAATTCTTTGATGTTTGGGGTGATGGGTACTGGGTTCGGGTCTCAGTGGGGACAACATCACTTACTGGGGTGGAAGTACATCCAGCTGATAAGTTCCAAATAGGGGGAAACGCACGTCCTGGATTCCACTACTAGCCACCAAAGTGAACTACAACTGTTAGAGATATATTGTGTTAATTAGTCGAAAAACTGCTGTTCAGGGTTCCTCAGTTTCCAAGGCATTCTTCAAAAATAAATCAAGTATTACTTATTGTACAATATAATAGAAAATTTTTATGTTTAGATTCAATGACTAGCAATAATATCAATAATATTGCATACCTGGCTGTCCATTTGACGAATCGTAAGGGAAAGGAGTAGTTGGTGGTGAAATTGAAGAGGAAGATGATGATGAATGTTGTGATAAGTGTGTACGTGTTAAGTCTTTGTATTGGAGGGAAGTAGTGGTATTGATAGTAGTATTAGTAGCAGCAGGGGAAGAAGAAGAAGAGGATAAAGGATGATTTGGACTTCTTTCCCTTGATGATTGGTAAATATCACGATTAAATAGTAACTTGATTTACTCTTTAGTAAACTTGATGATGACGATGAAATGCTAGTATCATTAGCATTTTTAGCCGTTAAATTAATCAACGTTGCAGAAGGAGATAAATTCTGGATCCTTTCAACAGAAAAAGAAGGGAAATGATGCAAATGAAATTGGTGTGAATAAAAAGGCTTTGAAAGAATCATAAGTGAATGTATACAACGTGCACAAAGTCGATTAAGTTGACCTTAAAATCAAATGGTAGAGTACCAGGGTGAGTAATCCGAAGGTCGCAGGTTCGAATCCTGTCAAGATTTTGATTTCACCCTCAATCATCACCCAGTATCAATAATATAAGTTTACCAAACCACAGCCATTTCAGACAGTCAAACTCATAATTAGTAAAACGGCTAAATGCAATCACTTGTATTTAGACGTATAACGATCAGAGTCTGTACAATAATCAGGGTTTTTGTACTCCGATTGATAGATTAGCGAAGTTAGGCTTGTGAACTTTTACATATTATTGATAACTGTATACAGAGAACATGACATCCTAACATTGACAGGACGTGGAGGCGTTCAACAGTATTTTCTTTATTAAAACTAAACATCTTTACATCTATGCTTAGAATGACTCTATATTATATCGATGTACAATTTGGTCAACCATATATTATTCTGTTGTTAAACCTTTTTTGAAAGATGTTTTACGTGTTTAAATTATTTTGTAGTGTCTATTTCACAGTAAATGTAATAAGCTTCCTCTCTTTCCCTAACTTGTCATTTCATGTTTTACGGTCAACAGCCCATTTTAAGTTAAAGCACACTACTTATTCCTAGCCTAAATTTTGTTGTTGAGTAGTTGGTAACTGATTGTGTGTCGTTAACTTGTCATTCATGTGTACTAACGAGTCAGTTGTAAATCAAAGGAAATAACCAGTAAAACGGTTGACAATATCTCGTGTCCAGTTCGGTTGATGTCTCATAGGTTTCAAAATTCCGAGTCATCACCTAAGGGCAACGATCATATAGCCAGAAATATAAGTTCTGATCGTACGCGGATATGAGGGTATAATCAAAAAGCCATCCCAACAACTACTGAAATGATTAATTGGGTCTCGTTACTTCGGCTGAAAAAGTAGTTTGTTTATCGGATACAAAAACTTGATTGCTTGTTTTAGTGGTCGTTAGGGTGAGCTTCAAAGTCACTCAAAATAATAGGCATGAGTTCCAACCAATATGAGTGTATAAGTAACTCTGATGTCCACACCGATAAATGCATAAATATTCAATTAGATTTCTCTGTTTTTGCTAGAAAGAGAGTTTTTACGTGCAATGAAGGAACTTAGTAGGTTGTTTTGAGTGACTCTGTTGAAATAACCACCTAGATTTCTTTATTATTGTAGACAAAACAAATAAATTTAATTGGTTATTTCAGCCACTGGTAGGATGACCTTTAGGGTCATTTTAATATTGGCACCTAAATCTTGACCACTAAGTTATAACTCTTACAGTAACTTAACAGCATTGTTAATCCATCAACTGATAAGTTGAATACATGGAGTATAGCCGAAAGCTGTATACGATAACTTACTTTGAAGTAGATGTTAAGCTATGTAAGAAAATGAATCCAGTTTTAGAACTACCCTACCACAATTCCAGAATAAAATATTCATCATACAAATGCACTCATAGATAATTATTTGATGAAAAAGAGTGAGTTCAGCCGAAAAAGGAGTTATTAATAAACAATCGACAATTGTTGTACACAAGAATGGAATAACTGTTTAGTGACCGTTAGATTTTAGTAGTGTTACAACTGGTGTTTCTACGCCAAAAAAAAACTGGGAAACAGTTTGCCTTCAAAATGTTGAGGCATGGTTAACACACACACCCACTGCCACCCCTGAAATTCACCCTTATACATATTATTAACTCCATGTTATTGAATTTTAAAAAAAATCCCACTTTAGCAAATGTATAAGTAATTTCAAAACTCACCTCTGTAGATTCTGCTTGTCTGCGTTCAGTAACATTTTGAAGTTTAAAAGGTTTTTGAGAGTAGGTGAGCCCTGATATGCTTACCAAACACTGAGTGACATCAGTATCTTATGTGTTTTACATGTTGAGAATTGTATACATCTACTGGGAGTTTATAGTCTCCAGCTCATGACCAAATACTAACAAAGTCACTTAGATACACTATACATCTCATATAAGCATAGTGGCTCTCATTGATCAAAATAATGACTGATTATCTAATTCAAAGCATATATGCACTCTTATTGGAATTAAAGCATGAGTTAAGGTCGTCATAGGTGTTGTTGCAACCCACGGTGTACTACATATTTTTACCACTCTACATGAGGTTCCTTTCCAATGCCTTCTTGTGTGGTTGCAAATCCGTTTAATCAAAGTTTTGTCTTCTCCTTGACGCAAGCGATACAAGGTTTAGGAAGAATTTACTGTTGTTCACTCAATAATGCAACTATATTTCATGTCAAGAATTTATGATGTTAGGAAAGAGAACATAGTAAGTGAAGAAAAACCACTTTTGTTGAGAATGAAAGTCACGTAAAACTTGTCTCTATTACAGAGTAATATATTTGTTGTTGCTTCGGCTTCTCATCTATATTTGCTTTTCCACAGTTTTGTTGGTGCTTTGAGAGTACTTTAGGAAAGGATTCGATCAAAAATTATCAGGATTGAATTGGAGATGTCGACAAGAAAGTCCATTTAGATCGTTAGACAGAGTGAGATTGATATAACATGAGGAAATCCAAAGCGTCTAATTCTGTGATTCACTCAACAGGTTCAAATGAATGACAAAAATTGTGCTACTAGGTCGGCATCCAATGGTCCATATCTCCTACTTCTGTCAGTTAACGATATAGCACTACTCCCATCCGGTCCTGTTGTTAAGTACCTGCCCCCATGTTCGAATTGGTTAGCCCCACCGGTCACAACTTATCATTAGAGCCTCGGGAATCACCTATCGAAGCGAGTCACCAATGAACACTAGAATTATTCAATTTGGAGGTTTGTAGGGATTTATTTATTGATTTCAGGTTGACAAGAGATATAGACCATTGGGTTACGACGCAATGGCTTAATGATAACGTGCTAGCCCCATGAACCTGAGGGTCCTGGGTTCGAACTCCGGCGACGTCATGGGTGCACACTGCTGAGTTTCATCCTAAGACAAAAGAGCTGTTCAGGGTTCCCAGGTTTCTATTATTTCTCCGACTGATATCAGTCCATGATGAATACCAACTTGAAATCAACCAATAAATACCCACAAACCTTCAAATTGGACAAAAATTGTGTTTTGAAAAGTGTTAATGAAGGAGTTCAACGGCTTTCTTAACTCATTTGTTCTTTGAAACTGTTGTCCTCAATTTTATTTATGATTTTTAAAAATGGGAGATATGTGACTGCTTAAAAACTGTCCTATCAAAAAATATCGATGATTAAGAAAGATTCTGAGTGAACTAAAAAAAAATGTTGAATCAAGGCATAGAAATCATTCTCATACACAGAAAAACACATAAATAGGCGAAAATATTCTCACCTTGAATTGGCTAAATTTTCATCTGCCATCACTGTAGGGTTCACTCTAGACGACATACTCATTTTTCTACGTGAATTCAAGGTTCCACTCGAAGTGTTCATTGATGCACGAAACACTGTTTCACCTGATCTTAATGCACGTAAACACCCCTGTGCAGTTGATGTAACATTAGAATTTGGTAGTAAATAATTAGTAACGCTAGAATTATTGATCTGATTAGTTGAATTGTAATACTAGATGCTAACGAATGAGATGCAGCGCAAGTGGCTGACATCATTGAAGATAAACTAGGTGCTGGTGAAAGTGATGCATTCGTTGATATCTCATAATAAGAAGATGCAGACGGTTGGTGGTGAATATCTGTATTCAATGAATGTGTTTCAGGTGCTAATAGTTCTTCTTGACCATTATTTACTGATAAGGAACATGCGTTACCGCCACCACCACCACCACTGTTGCTACTACAACCATTGGCTGATGAAACAACAGTCAGTGAACTCCCACGACTTGTTGAGCTGCCTAAACTACTTGGTTCGGTTAAACCACCAACAATTGATGATGAAGATGAATTTGATGGCAATTGATTCAGTGATGTCTGAGTGACTAATTGGATAGTAAGAAAACAAATAATAAAATAGGTGGTTGTCAAAACGCTAGTATAAAGAATAAAAATACACAGAACCAACTCATGATGAACACGTCTTAGACTAGCATACGTTTTGAAAAGAAAGCTGATGACAGTATAGAGACTTTAGCAAACAATAATATTAAGTCGTCTAAAGCAGAATAAGTTGTTATTATTATAACTAGCCGAGCAAATGATTGAAGCAACCTAATATAGGAGACGATGTACTGCTATAAAGTAATGAAACCTGCGAAAATGGATTTTTAAAAAAGTGGAATTCATTACTGAAAAGTTGTTTGTTTACAGGATAAAAGTGAATGGATATTCGGGGAAAGTAAGAAGACAGAAAGTAAATCGAAATCTAAAAAGAAGAATATAAGTAGACTTTCGTAAATGCGTCAGGAAAGGAAAATAGCGTCAATCAGTTGATGTGTCAACAAAACAATCTGTAAAGAGCAATTTAATCATAGGAAGGTATGGATATCGGAAAATGGTGTTCTCCCAGTAAATGGTTTCGGTAGATACATATAAATCAATAGATGCTGAATAGACTGTTACTTAACACAGCAAAAAGCTCCGAAAAATCTTTTCATGATTCTCTAAACCCACAGAGATTATACAACAATAAGTCTTGCAATTTGTAAAATCAATCAAGCTTTATTGGTTGCACGCGAATATTCACACACCTCAGTTGAAAAAAGAAACACTTATATACGTGAGCATAAACCAATAAGGTATAACAACCACTCGGTAGATAACGCTTTGGTATTTGAAGCGATGGGTACTAGGTTCTAGGAGTCTCAGTGGGAACACAATCACTCACTAAGATGCAGTCACATCCAGCTGAAGAATCTCGAGTAAGACGAAATGCGCATCTTGAATTCCACTGCTAGTCACTAAGATGGACATAATAGGAATTATCCGGCAGTATCGAAGCCCATCTACCAATAGAGGTCGAGCAATTCGACCCAGTATAGCAATAGGAAATAGCAAGGATCAATAACTAACAAAAGGAGGACTAGTTTAGTCGAATTCGAATTTCATGGTTATACGGAAAAATACGAGAGATAGATGCAATTTTGAATTGAACACCAATGTAAACCAAAGATTTTGCGGAATATAAGGATATTTCTCATAACTTTTGTTTTTATTAAGTAATTGAAAACAATCAAAGCTGGATGGCTTCATCTAGCTGACGCACATACACATATATGATAAAGGAACCTTTTCAGTGACAAAGATAGTTGCAAACATTGCACTTTTTTGTTTTCCTATCTAATGAATAGCACATGAGAATGTTTATTTCTCATATGTGAAACTATGGTTGTCAGGAGATAAAATTTTTGTATTTTCATCTGCGATTAGCTAGCACAGTAGATCATTTTTCAGTTAAATCTGACCCAGTGATGTATCAATAGTAACATGTTCACCGCGAAACCTGAAAGTCCAGGTTCGAGTCTCAGTGAGGTCATGGATGTGCACAGCTGAGGACTCTCATAGTGAGGAAGAACAGCTGTTTAGTGCTCTCAATTTTCAACGGCTCTTCAACTGATATCAGCCTGCGAAGAGTACTAACTTGAAATAAATCAATCTCCAAAGGCCTGCGAACGAAATCGAAAAACGGAGATAATTCCAGGTTCACATTCCTGTAGTCATGTACCACTGATTATGGACTCTGAAGATGAATTCGACTGAAATTTGGGCCAATGCGTTGACAATTTGTTATGATGTGGAGTTGCAAAAACGAACGGAAATACTTAACGATAGGTAGTCGAGGGTTGAGATGATGCAACCGAGTGATTCGGGAGGAGAAATCAAAAGACTAGAAACCAGATGAGTTTATAGTATTTCGAACTGAGGCGTTTATGAGTGAAAACTGATCGTATTTATAGAGTTTACAATACCTTGAAAGAGAAGGAATCATAAGTACATTTAAAGAGGCAGGAGTCAATCAGAACAATAGCGGGTCATACGAAATATGACCCATGAGCGGGAAAAGAGCGCGAATAAACAGTTCAAATATAAACAAAACTGTAAGTATGGAATATAAAGGATATCGGCATCTCTAACATAATTGGATTCGAATAATAGTTCAGTTGGTTACAGGCTCAGAGCTTCAGTGTCTGAGCTAAAGAACCCAACCGAAAAGTTTTCACTTGCCTCTCTTTATACAACTTTCATATGAATGAAACGTGTACAGCTTTTGATCAGCCAGCCCTCAATGATTTACGAACTTAGATTTTAAGCAGTGAATTTTCAGTTCAAGCCATGCCTGAGCAACTGCGTATTATCATAAGCCCTCACAAATTTAGTGTACCACAGACTAGTACATAAACTTTTGTCTGCCTCAGTTGCACAAGGTCACATTCTAATTAACTCGAGCTAAATTGGATTCGACAGATCAATTTTTTACCAATCCAAGTATTAGAAGAAGCCTATGCAAAGAAAATAATTCTCATAGGTAGATCGTAAGTGAACTTGATCTAAAAAGTAAGTGGCTGCGGTTTCCCTGCCCGGTGTACATTCTTATTTTACATTTAGTCGTCACTGTATATTCAGATAGCTAGAAAAACAGTTTAACACACAAACAAGATATTATACAGGAATAATCAGGTGCGCATACTGAAGTTTGCCGAAGCGTTAGCCATTCGCAAACTTAAGTCCCCGTTGTGCGTACAAAAACAATTTGTTGTTTCACTTAATTTACCTTGGTAATCTTTATTTGATTGTATTACCAAGACTAGTGTCACAACCTTTTCATATTCATTATATTTGACCTTTACTTTTCATATATAAATTGAATTGACAAGTAAATGTGTGATCAGATTGTTCGAAATGTGTTGCGCAAATACATCACATTTTTCAGATAATCTTCGTCTTCTAATAGCGTTATCGAAATTTATTAAAGGGACTAATTGCTTCAAATGTACTACTGTTAATAATCTCTTTACTACTCACAAGTAGCATGAATACAGCATATGAAAAAACTATTTCAAAACAAAATGATTGCATAACGAGTCAAACAACTGATCAGATAAAAAATTGAAGCAATAAATAATAAAGAAGGAAGGGAGTATTCTTACTGGTAATTAGATCAGAATACAAATTGATGATGAATAATGAATAAAAAATGGCATAAAACAGGTGCATGTATTGAATTATAGCCGACTGGCAAGCAGATAAATTAGAAGGGATAAAAATGGCAGTGGTATCAAAATGAGACATATCCAAGGCCAACTGGATAAAGAACAAGGAAGAAATATAAACTCGAAATATTTTGTAGACCAGGAATCCAATGAATTTGACCAAAGTACAAGCACAGAAATTGTCAGCATAAATCATTCCATACTTTAGTTATCTAGCTACCTACCTACCTAGTCAACTGGTCACTATGATAGAATAACAGACAGGCAGATATATAGAAGTAAAATTTGGGCAGTGTGGTAGATTGTAATCCCACTATTTTACTGTCTGACACATCAAATAAACAGACTAAAATAGAATTAAAACCTACTACATTGCCCAAGTTTTAATTTTATATCAATGGAAAATATGGTCTACCAGTTTGAAGACAACTCAACAAACTCACACGACTTTCATACACAGAAGGTATATATACAAATCATCTTACATTCAATGATATTCAATGTCTTAGCAATCAAATCATTTCTAAATATCTAAGTCTAACTGCACCAATTCTAACAGACAATGTCAAAGGAACAATAGAACGTGTCGGTGAACTCTAATCTTACAGTTGAATAGCCAAAGAGTTGTAAAACATTAGAAGTTCCATTGAAGAATTAAAATGATATAAACAGTTAGTGGAAAAGACTATAAACTTTTAATGAACAATTGCAATAAAGTAAGATCATCTGCTTTCAAGGAACCTAAAAATACTCAAATTAAGAAGTTCAACAAACTAATAGAAGAAAAATATGCAATCGATAGTAATGAAATTACCAATATCATATCATATAAATTAAAGTAGGTTGTCTATCTCTCAACTAGAGGCCTATGGTTCAGTAGAAATTAAAGTGCTAGAGAAAGACCTTAACTTTAGTGTAACGGCTAGTGAAATGAAACCAGGATAGAAATAGCATAAAGTTTGATAGATGTGGCAGTTTCAAATAAGGTGCGAACACAATATGAACTAACACTAAAACCATAGGAGAAAATGAAACCAAATTTCCTCAAACTAGAAAAGAAAGTCCTTAATAACGTTCGTAATGATAACAATATAATAATTACAGAATTAGATAAAGGCAACTCAATGGTTGGGATAAACAATCTGATTACAGGTTGGAATTCATCATGGACTGACATCAGTTTGAGAGATATTGGAAATCTGAGAGCACTCAACGATGCCACCGGAAAGAGGCTGCGCTATAATGTGAACTGACAGAAGTAATAAATGTAGACCATTGGATAGCAACCCAGTGACTCAATAGTAACGTGTTAGCCCCCATGAATCTGAAGGTCCTGGGTTCGATTCCTGGCAAGGTCATAGGTGCACACTTCTAAGGAGTCACATACGAAAACAAAACAGATGAGTTCCCAATGTTTCTCCAGCTAATGTCAGTCCATGATGAATACCAACCTGAAATCAGTTAATAAATCCTCAAAAACAGAATAAAATGCAAGACAGATAGATAGTCAGTCAATCTGATTCACTTTTGCTTTGGAACTTCTTCTTTTGTTAAATTGCTACCAGATAATGATGAAAAACTGACAGACCAGATATAGTAGACAAATAGATTTCAAAAAAAGCCGTAGTGAGGAGAAGATTGCAACAAGGTGCAGTGAAGTTGCTAAAGAATGATTTGCAAAACTATAGACATTTGATCACTTTTGTTTCCATTGGATCACTTGTGTGTTGTAAAACCACTTAGTGAGCAATGTACTCAGAAACATAGACAATGAGTCAGATCTATTACATGAGTACTAGTGATACTTACTACCTGGTAGCCTACACCTATGTACGTAGGACCCAAGTGTGTGACTCATCGGTTAAACTTCATGTCTAGACCAATGACGCACAACTTCACAGTGGCGAGGACTAGAAAGAGATTTAGGTCAAGTTATTGAAATTATCACTATCCCCCATGATATTCCTGATTGTGGTCGACTGGACTGGATCATGCAGCAAACAGTGGGAAGCGAGAAGAGGGGGATACACTGGCTGGACTGCGGAAAAGAACCTAGAAGACTTGGATTTCGCCACCGATGACTTGTGCCTGATGTCACACAAACTTGAAGATCTACAGGCAAAAACTAACAAGTTGATAGAAGAGGCAGCGAAGACGGGACTTCAGGTGAATATAGAGAAGACAGAGGTGATGAAGATACCGCACCAACAACTCCAACAACAACAACAACAAACTCCAATCACCATCAACAGGAGAAACTTAAAGGAAGTAACCTCCTTCACCTATTTAGGAAGCACTGTTTCAACTACAGGTGGCGGCACAGACGAGGATGTCGAAGTCAGAATCGGAAAAGCAAGACAGGCATTCATTAGCCTGAAACCAGTGTGGAGATCTGCACTCAGCATGCGGAACAAGATACGGGTTTTCAACACCAACGTCAAGTCAGTGCTTCTTTATGATGGTTGAGAGACTTGGCGCGTTACGAAAGGGATTTCCAATAAACTACAGACATTCATCAACAACTGCCTACGCTGGCTCACTACTGAAGATCAGATGGCCAGAATAATAAGATTAAGCAACAAGGAGCTCTGGGAAGGAAGCAACGAAGCAAGAACCTATCACCCAACAAATGTGGAGTAGAAGGAAGTGGAGATGGATTGTATTTGGCATACACTGAGAAGGCCGACTGGGGACATCACGCGTCAGGCCAGTTGCTCGAGTGGAATCCCCATGGGAAGTGAGGAGTTGGGCGAGGGTGTCCGAGGGTGACATGGAGGAGATGGTGTGAGGAGGAAATGAGAGGTTGTGGGCTGTCATGGAGCCAGGTTGAAAAGATTTCAGAGAACAGAATTCACTGGATACGTGCTACTGAAGCCTATGTTCCACTAGGAACCCAAGGGACTAATAATAATAATAAATTGAAATTATCAACTTTGTTTAATTGAGGTAATTGGAAAGCACAGACAGAAATTCATCGATCCAAGTTTCTGTACTTCAGGAAATGTATCAGGCATATCGAGTTTCCTCCTCCCCCCCCCCAATTCAATGTTTGGTTAATAATCCCAAATGTGTTAATTTGTCTCGTTAAGCTTTGAGAATCACGAAAGCGATGAATACCGCGCTAAAATTTCAATGAGAACAACATCAATCACTGGGACGTAGATACATCCAGCAGACAAGTCTCAAATGAGACAAAACCTAATTCCTACATTCCACCGCCAATTATCTATAAGATATTTTGTCAATAAGCTATTGACCAGTTTACACTGTTTAACTTGAGTCTTTGAGAGAGCAATACTTTCACGAAGGTTTTAGATGTACCTTACTGGGCGAATGTCAATAAGTGTCAGTGTTTCTTACAGATTGCCTTCATGAAATAAGCAGGGTAAGGTGAGCAGACTACAAACTTGACAAATACAATATGGTCAGGGTTTTTTAGAAATGTACAATAAGAAATTAGTTATTCTTTAATGATCAATAAATGTATTGTTTGCAATTCCCTGCTTTTCAATCCATCCCTAAACAACACATTAGTCATTACAGTTGCCATAAAAGTTACAGACAAATAAACTTATGAAAAATAACAATAGTATACAATAATAAGTAATAATAACAGCGAACGAATGTATTAAATAACTCACTTGAATTGGGTCGACTCAACAGAACTGGTCTACTTATTGTTAGTCGTTTATTAGTATTATTATCATGATCTGATTGATTAAAGCCCATGAAATTATTTTTATTTGATGATTTTGATACGGAGGAACTACGACGTGTTAAACTTCCAAAAGAACTACGCTTCCATAGAGATGATTTATGCTCTGTTTTTATAATAGTAGACTTTAATTTTCTAAGATGATTCACATCGCTATCATCGTCATCATCATCATTGCCAACTACACGATGGTTTTCGACATAATTTGAATCACTTACTCGATTTTCTTTTACTTCATAATTTAGTGTATTTGTAAAAATCGATTGGTGAGATGGTGAATCAAGAATATGGCTGTTATTTTTGTTATTACTTGTTATATATGTGCTAAGATAATCATTAGAATGTGGTGTTATACTGCCATTGGTTAAGATTCTTCTTGGTGTAGAAGAAGAAGAAGAGGCACGAAATTGTCGTGAGACATCAACTGGTTTCCAGGCATTTCTTCCCATTTTGATTGGATCTGGTGTTGCATTGAATGTTCCAACTGGATATTCAGTGGTTAGATCGTCAGTTGAACTTAATCTGTATACATGTGTGTGTGTAAAATACAAGAGTTGTGAAAACAAGCTGAACACACCAAGATGATTTTCATGATAAATAGAAGTCAACCTAATAATAATCACTGAAAACAAACGAGACCTTGACAGATGATTTATTCTCCCCCTCATCGATTCAGCAACATTAAAAACTAGAGTTTATCAGTCAACAAAGCTCTTAAGTGTTTGCGTTGTATCATGATCTATCACTTGTGAGTGATTTGTCTACAATTTTTACACTTTTTTTGGTGTAATCAGTTGAGAAATTATACTTAACAAAGCGGCTTTAAAGTTCCTCATGTCATTTGCCAAATAGATTCTCTATGGATATACACGGATAATAATTATATAAGCTAAACGAATTTTATACAGTGAGAGTCAATTAAACTGTGCGATTGAATATACCTCTACAAATATGCTATGCTGAGTTTCAAGTAGTGGGTAATATATATCTTTTAAATATTGCGACTTACACAGTGAATGTGTTTCATATTCTAGTATTACCACTGAATGGTAAATACGATTTAGTGGAGTTTGTAACTCATAGGTTCATGACATCTTAACTGTCAATTCATACATTACTGGATTGAATATTTATTTATATTAATCGAGAAACTGAGTGACCATCAAGGGGTGAAATCTGAAGATTATTGTTGAAGCATACGCACATATATATATCACTGAGGCTATATCATTACAAGGTTATGACAATCAGAGTTTGGACAGCTAGATGAGGTTCATAACTTATATGTATCTCTATGTGGCTGATTGTCAGGAATATATAGATTTGATTTTCTTGAATAGTTAAAGCATAGCTTGAAATACAGGTGAAAGCAAGTAAAACAAATAAAATGACAGTGAAACGGAAACACATTGAAAGTAAAACAACCCACTTGTTAATCACAGTACTATTTAAATTGAGCATATCATCATTACCAACACCATTTAATACATCAGAATGTTGGTTATTATTTATTGAATAAATTCTATCAGTCTCTTTTTTAGTGTTCGAATCAAACTGGTTCTCTTCATCGTTTCCAGTGTTATTTGTCTTCTCGATAGATTTCTCCATTTGAAAGCATTTAAATACTTCATCTAGTAAGGATGAACCTAAATCAAATCCCTATGGAAAAAAATAATACCGATATGAAAACAAACAATCCAAAGTAAACTTCTAAGTAATAGAACACAAAGTTATAGAGTATACAAATCGGTCAGTATAACTGTGAAATCCATAGTGATCGACACTGATAAGAGTCTACAAATCAAGTTGCAATGTGGTTTACTAAGCTGAGTGATGTAACGCTATGGTGCAAAACGGCTTTAGTATTACATGTTATGAGTGAGTTAAAAGGGAGCTCCGAACCTAAACTTCATGGTTTTTGGCACTCGTCAGTATATCGTTTCTGGAATCACAAGGAAACTGATATCTTTTCAGTGATTGAAAGCTGAAGAATTCAGTGCTGGGGTCAGAAACTTTATTACTACGCTGTTGAGAGGTTACGTATACCCCCTATAAGATTGGCTTATCTATACGATCTAGTCATCAGAAGGTACCCAATGTAGTTAAGTCTTGAGCGCTCAATTTTGACAGGAGTCAAGCAGTCACGTTTACAATGTCTTCACAAAACTTAGCGACACTGCTGCCGTACACTTTTCTAGGTGTTAAATGTTAGAAATCAACTGGCAGGAAGCTCTAGAAATATTCAAGTTTCGTGTCTGTTCTTCATAGTTAATGAATAGTAAATAACTATTTTTAATATTTTTCCATTACCAAGATTTTATTAGACATACAGAACAAGGGTTTGACGGATTTCAATATGATATACTTTATTTAGATCTGCTGGTTGAATCTATCTCATAGTCTTTAGGAAAGGTAAGCGAACTATAAAACTCGCTGTTTGTGATATCATTATTGTTTGCATTCGTATTTCAGATGCAGTGAAACAGTGTGATTGCAATGATTCTCACTGAACTCTGTTCAATATTTCGTAAGCTGCCTTATACATAGAATCCTAGTTATACTAAACAAGAAATCAATTACTGATTTCTACTGGCTTTCAGCTTAAATTTAGGGGAACCGAACGTTTTTCATTGAATATATTACATTAAATCGCTTCTTCTGAACTTGTTTTATTCATTCAAATGTCAACAAATCGTAATATGTAATGTCGCACAGTCTTAAAATGTCTTCAAACTATCGTTTTGTAAGTCAACAACAAAATTACGAGAAAATATCACGGTGGATGGTAATGGTTCCTTGAGAGCATACCAGCTCATTATATTACGTTTACTGGAATAGTTAGCGGGAACTGCATCCTTTAATATTGGCTGAATGAATCTCCACCATTAAACCCAACAGTGGTTTTCTGTTCGTGCTGCCGTGCAACAACGCACCAACAAGCTAGACGATAATCTAACAACAACTGGTCGTTATATATTATCGCTTATCAAAGTGTTATTATTAACATTATTTACAAACTATTATAATTTCATTTGAAAATATTGTACAAGGAGAAAACGCTGGTGACACATTATATACTGGAAATTCCATACAGTGTCAACAGCGTTGTCTGCGACAAAGTAACTTTCAGTACTATTATAACTCTTATTATTATCATGTTGGATAATTTAACGAAACCGACTATTCGGGCTTAGAATGCTTTTCAAAAGTACATCTAAAGTAAGATAGTTAGTGCTGATCTTTTATTTCAAATATATTAAGAAGTTAGGTGATTATAGCAGCTACCTTGAGTTGACAGAGTGCTTACCAGTCAGATCTAGGCAAACTAAACACCAATCAAGTGGATATTTCACTCATTAGATACTGAAGACAATAGTGGTGCAATCAAAGTAGTTCAGCTCAGAAAGATGAAGTATTCAAATCAGCCCATCACTGACTGGTGTTTTTTTAGCTACTCATACCAGCCAATAGTATTTATCAAGCAATTCTCTCGTTTGTGATCTCACTTTTGGTGTCTAGCGGATGATAACCCGTAGTTAGCTCATTTTACTTCCCAAAGGAAACTACAGTAGGATCTCATGAGAGATCCTTTTCTTCAGAATACTTTTCACAGGATGTAAGCTAGCCTTATCGTACACCAGATTGCTGACCACTTTGGAAACGAAGACTGATGAGATATGGTGGATTGAAAAGAATTGGAACTTGAGAACGATTTGATTTGCAATGCAGTGTGACTAACTGGCAACAGACTTAATTAACAATCCTGGATATAGTCTAGTCCGAAATCACTGTTGGAAAAAAGCAGTTGTTCAGTTCACTCTGACCTTCACTTACTTTCTAACTCGTGTGAATTAGTGACGAAAGATGCTAATGAACGTAATCTGTAGTTTACATATGAATCAATTTAACTGCCTTATCCTCCATATAATATCAATAAATTAGTATTTTTTTGGATTTTTTTCTTACAAACAATCACATTCTGTCGCACACAAATTAGTCATCTTTAACTGAAAAACAAAAACAAATTTAACTGAATAGTTAGTTAGACTAGGTGTTATATGCACTAGGCAAAGTCAATTATCATTTTACAAACAAAAGGGTAAGTTTGAAGTGGAGACAGAGAACAGACAAGACTTTAGACAACAGACTATTGGAACAGGTATCCACTTTCTATCCGCATGAAAAAAATAATGATAGAAGAGAAAGCATATCAATCAAGCTTTTCTTAAAACAAACAATAAAGAATACAACATTCATGACTTGAAGAGATAATATAAACAGCGAGCACGTAAGCATACTATACTGATCAATTTCGAATCACTTAATTCAAAGCCTTCAAGCACTGACTTGTATCATCATGTAGAAGAAACTGTTCGATTATTCACACCGGTAGATAGTTTTCTGATGATAGACTTGTCGAACAACCTTGATGCACAAAGAAATAGACCGTGATATGGTGTGCTCACAAAAGACGAGTGATATTAGAAAATATCAGTGTTTAAACGTGTATCGAACATCCTACGACGATCCAAACTGAAGTCAGAAGTGGTAACTACCATCTTATTCTATCATTTTATAGCAAAAAATGTAAGATGAATAAAGTTACTGATGAAAAGCCTTCTTAATCTTCACTTCTGATTTAGTCTTTGATTGGCTGATTTCAAGTCCTAAGTGCTGATCAAATTCTATAGATCAGTCTGCAGTAGAGAAATCAGCATTTTAATCCAGTCCTACAGAAGGTCAGTATAAACCTGAGTAGATCAGTGGTAACGTCTCTGACTACAGGACTAGAAGACAGGGTTCGAATCTAACAAGCAGACATCACTTCCCTCGAGAATAAACCTTTCTAACAAATACCAACAAACACGAAACTTATTTCCACGGTTTGCTGCCTGTCGCCTACATCCCTCTAATAAAAATAGATTTTTCCTTCGTTCAATTGTCCAAACTATTATATTTCGACTACTGATCTTATTTTATACAACTACTTCTCAACTATATGTATATATATGTTGTCTTGGTAGAGATGGTAGAAAGCGTCTTTATTTACATACACAATGTGAGTTCAAGATATTTTAACAAATGTCGGTTAGAATAAATAAGGATAGAAATGAGATCCTGTTTCCCAGTACACGAAGTCAACAAAATTTGGGAATGATATGGGACAGCTAAGCACAACCAACCACCGGTAAGAAGAACAGTACTCAACTATAGTAATTAGATGGAAACTATTTCACAAACCAACAGAAAGGAAGTAACACAAAGAGAAATAAATTACTGCCAACTGAGCTACGAGGTCCAACTGCTGACCAGAATTTTATTTCACTTCAATCACCAAGGGTTTTGCCTGACTACCATATGAATCCGTGACGCGTTACTACCGCTTGATCGTATTCACACCGGCTGCCTAGTCATAAAATTCTGGTCAGTAGTCGGACCTCGTAGCTCAGTTGGTAGAGCACCGGGCCGGCTTAACCCGGTGATCGCTGGTTTGAATCTGGCTGCGGACCGAATTCCATCTCACCTTCAATCATCACCCAGTACAAATACTATTCTGCCAAACTACGGCTATCTTAGATGGTAAAATCATAATCAGTATCAAGAAGGTTGAAAAAGCATTCCCCTGGAAGAATTAATTAATCACGATAAGGAATGCTTCATAAAATAAGTATATTCTTGATAGTTTAAATATACATGAATATCAGTAGGCTGAGTAGATTGCATCAACAATCAGTTCATGCTTTCAAAGAAGGCTATCAAGTTCAAAGCTATCTCTTCATTAAAATACAATGATAATATATTCAGAAGTGAATTGTTTAATCTTGTGAAATAGCTAAAGCATTAAAAAGTTGTATTTCGTCTTCAGAAAATCAAACAAAACTCTTTAGTCATTCATCATTGTGCTAAGAAGTCTTTCCTTTGCATGAAACAATAGGATATCATATAGTGAAAATGAATCAGTTACAATACATGCTTTTTCTTTAACTACAACATAACAAACACTATGGAATGATGGAAAGGATGAATGTGTACTTCAACAGGATCAATCTTGGTCGTGTTATGTTTACTTCAAGCTGTATAGCTTTTAGCAATCAGGTTTTTTATTGTTATGCTATACATAATTACCAGTGTAAACTTTAAAGATATTATGTGGTATGATGATCTGAGATATGATCTATGGTTTCGGTAGTAACATCTCCAACTACGGTGAGGGAGTAACATAATGTGCAGATACATCGTGTTGATGTATGCAAAACAAGTACTAAAAGCTGACTGCATTATAAAGATAAGTTTAATTAGCTTAACAATTGATAGAATTTGACTAGTAATCAGTCAGCATAACGCCTTCTTACTATCCACCGAAACTGTTTTTAATTTTATTTCACTTCATTTCTAAAGTTTATACTTATTCGTTGTTTTGCTTTAATTGATGGATAAGGAACAATTTGATTCAATACATCACCTATAGTATTTTGTATCAATAAGAGAGTTAGTACTACTTAACCTACTTAATCTTATCGAAATGGAAAAACAAACAAAAATATTAGTCTTATCAACAAAACTGAAGAATTTTAAAGAAATTTATAAAATAATTAAATCTCATTTATCATATTTCTTAATCACTTACAATTTATTAAGTAATGTAGAGAGATAAAGAGATATCATGCTATAAGTTTAATAAACAAAAGACTCTTAAACAGAAAGTAGGCATTAGAAGACAGTTGATTGCTATGAGATATCAATTAAATAACTACTTGTAATGAAGGATGTAATGCATAGTTTCATCTTTTCTAACTCTACAACACCCAACATATATACATACACTTTGTTATAGTTATGATGAATACCATAAATATTGATTGACATCATTCTGGTTGGGATACACAAATTATTTACTATGAAATATAGTTAGACCTAAAAGCAAGACAGGCGTTCATTAGCCTGAAAACAGTGTGGAGATCTTCTGCACTCAGCATGAAGCATGAACAAGATCCGGATTTTCAACACCAACGTCAAGTCAGTGCTTCTGTATGATTCAGAGACTTGGCACGTCACGAAAGGGATTTCCAATAAATGACAGACATTCATCAACAACTGCTTACGCTCGCTACTGAAGACCACTTATCTGTTTCATTGTGCTTTAAATAGTGAAGTCTATGATAAACACTGCTGTCTACTTTGGAATTCATCAGCCGCATATACCTGCAATCTAGTGAATATTGATGTTTCCATTCAGCATCAGTTTACTATTAAAATTTTCGATATATATATTTTTTTGATGTATAGAAATTTTGACCCAACACAGAGATTCATCAATTCACTTCTGTCTATATCAACAACGGGAGATATCGAAAAGACTGTCAAGTTATTAAGCACGTTTTACTTATCAGAACACTACAATGACCTAGAGCATTCTAGCATTTGAGACAATCGATATTGGATTCAAGTCTCAGTGGAAACATCAATATTCACTGGAATAAAAGTGTATTCAACTGATAAGTTTTAAGGTAGGCAAAAACTTTTACCACAGATTCCATGGAACAAATAAGAAATCCTTTAAATTAAAAATCCCCATTCATTTCAAAAATAAGAAATCTGGCCATATTTCGTAGCAAAAAAGTGTCTTTATCTTCCTTATAGGATGATGTTAGTTAATAAGCTTAAACAGCATTCACTATAGTTATGACAAACTGTATGCATGTAAGAGTGTATTTATAATCCAATGTTTCTTTGTGTGCGTTTGTGTGTATATATACATTTTTGTAATGTACTTGTTTGCATAATAACATTAATTATAATACGTCTTGTATTCAGGAAAAATATTCACCATCGATATAACAACAGACTTGATCAAACAACAAAAATCCAGACAAAAGTAAAAATGAACAATTTTCTTGATACTTCCATAAGCGAGTTGTATTCATGCACACACATGTTCGCATAAATGCACATTTCAACAAAGAAAAAGAAGGAAAACTTATAGTTAACTTATTATAGTCTTATAAGAATATTATGTCACTGGTAGTAGTATGCATATAGTAGGATTTTAAAAAGTTATTTGTCGTTCAACTATGTGTGTGTTACGGACAAATCTAGTACTAGTATTCAGGGAATCTCAAAACCATCTCAAACAACTGCTGAAGTTATCAATAATCTATTTCGGCAAAGAAAGTAGTTTTTCATTCAATGAAAAAACCTCAATGGATATTTGAGTACTGATCACTGTGACATTTAGAGTCATTCCTAGTCTTCCTCTCAGGACATTTGAAAAAGAGATGACACAGGAAAACAGGCGATTCTTAACTTAAGGAGGTAACACAATGAGAATATCCACAATCCTTGGGATGTAGCCAAGTATATTCAGCAACAATGTGATGGTTCAACAACCATGCAGACGACTAGTAACTAAGTAACGAGATCGACTGTGCAAACGAGGCAAACAGATTTTACTTATGCATAATTAGAGATCTTAGTTAGTAACTGATTTTAGTATTTTATTCTGGTGGAGCGTTGGAACTACCAAGCCATAGGGTGGGTGATTTGTTTGAGTGCTTTCGCAGCCTAAATTTCTTTCTACCTTGTTCCACACTTAATGTTCTCGTCTTCCAGCTGAAGACATGTGCAAATGTCACATCAGAAGTCGTCAATACTTTTATTAACCCTTATATATACATATATACTCTCCTCTCACTTGTTCTTTGCATGGTGTTATGAAGTGTGACAACTTGAACTGATGCATTTGTGTGTCAAGTTCTACAGAGTCCTGTCTTTTAGCCATCACCATGAACCATGTTTATAACGTTTTGGGGTTAAGGTGAGGTTTATTTCAACTTAACAAATCCATATATATTCATATATGTAAACCATGCTTACAGTGTGAAGGCCACGATAATAGAGCTGACTACCCTGACTTCCACATACGAGGTCTCGATCCTATGACTCAGTAGTTAAAAGTCAAGTATACAATCCAATTAGCTACGATTCACAGGGATTAGATCACATAAAACACTGTATACATGTATTCCGATTACATAGAATCTTCTTCAAATTTAAAATTGTTCTTGTTTTGATCACTTTCCTTTAGGAAGTTGTCCGTATATTAATTTCATTGTGTGACTGTAATCATCATGAAGCCTTTTCCTTATTCACTATATTTTGAGTCCCGATGGTAAAAGTTCTGCCTACTGTACCATACGACATTCACGAATGTACAGCTTAGTAAATGACTTCATCGAAAAGAAAAATTTTTCTTTGCTGTCACCGTGTTTCTTTTATTTTTTCCTATCACATAACAAATTTGAAAACAATTCGTATTGCGCAAACGAGAGGACAGATAAAAATTTATTTGTCTCTACCCATGCCACGAGACATAATCTTGTGCCCAAGGGCAATGTCATGCTCATTATTAAATACAAGGGTTATTCATTGAATATATGAGAATAATTGGTGAAATTACATGGAATTGTAATGGAGAGAAACAATATTAATAAATATTTGATAGTTTGCTGATGAGAGTTATAGCCAAACACATTTTTGTTCGTCCTTAAATGGAGGTATTTTCTTCCTCTTTCTATCGCTAGCTTAGGTGAATCCTCTGTTATTATGCATATGGAAGAGCTTTATTGTATGTACGATATATCATGCGGAATAATTCTTAGCTACACACACATACACACACTAAAGGATTAAGCATGAAAAGCAAACAACATTAAAGATAGTAGACCTATTTATTTATACTTATAAGTAACCTTAAGTTAACCAACAAGCTATCCGTGGTCATAAAATAATACCATTCACTAACTTCATCACTACACATTTGCAGAAGGAAACAATCGATATACAGTCCTGTTTGATATTCCAACACAAATCTATACGAGTTAATATTATTCACCACAGTGAGAAATTGCATTCCTCAGTATTGTGTTTGACGATATCACTACTGAATCATGTAAGGTATGCATAGAACTATTACTTTTCTCTCTCTTTCCTTTAGGGAACCAAGATGGAAGGATGGTGAATCGCCAATGATTCGGCTATGCATATATGATGCTGTCGAATGCCTTAAATAATTCCTTCGAAGTAATTTGTGAATTGTCACCCCCCCCCCACGCTTGCACAATTTCAAAGGCCTTCGTCAACTGCATCATCTATGCATGGTCGAGTCATTGGCATTTCACTATCTTTCCTTCATGGTAATCCAGAGGAGAAAGAAAAAAATATCAACAGTTCAAGGTGGAGAGAGATTGATTACTGAATCTTTGTTCATCGAATCAACACTCAACAAATGTAATAGAAATGACGCAACACCTATGCTAGAGATATAGAAAATTTTGCTACCAATAAAAACAACTCATATAAGGTGACGCAACTATAAAAATCAAATGTCGAAAGTAGTGTGATCACACATTGATATGATTTTCATTAATGATAATTTATGCTCGAAACGTCATCAAGTAAATAATACTAGATCACTGTGTGTTATAAATCAAATAAACAAATCTAATATGGAATTAAATTCTACCACAGTGCCCAAGTTTTATACCTATACTATTCTTGAACACCTTGTCCAGTCCGGATATCTGGTTCCTCATAGTAGTTTCTCCAGAGTATATTGTAAATGATATATTCTAAAATAATGGCAGGGGTAACAGTGTAAAAACAATCGGTTCCTAGAAAAAAATGACAGAAAACAGCTGTAAGGGTAAGAAATGACTTCTTAGTGCCTTCACAACCAACAACGGTACAATCATGTTTTGTTCATTTAGTCCCTCGACTACACTGGTATTCTCTGATAGGAATATATCTAGCAGCACCGTCACTAGTTAACATCCAAATGTTGATTTGTATAGTGCAGACAAATAATCATATTTACTTAATCCACTAGAACAAAGACTGTTGGCCAGTTACTTGAAGACACCACCCGTAAATTGCAAAGCTACAACGCATCATTTCATTGGTAAGTTTTTGATTGCGAATATCTTGTGGGCTACTCTAGAAAAGAAGCTAGTAGACTTGTCCCCTCCCTAGCAGCTTTACACTAACGGGTGGTAACCAATTATAGCAGTGTAACGCTATGATCTAGTAATAATCTAAATTTACTCAACACATTCACATAGTTAGTATCTATCACAATGGAAAGGAACTCATCGTCATTTGGTCGAATATTCACATAAAAGTGAAAACAACTAGTGTGTATTGCCAGAGGAGGCGTGACCAGCATTTTCAGCGCATGCTCTACTCACATCAGCACAACTTTACATTCAGAGACGATTTTAGAGAAAAATTAGTAACAAAGCGATTAGCCAAAATAGTGAAAGTTATACGCGAAATAAAAAATTTCATACAAACAACTTACATTCGATTCTGAAATCACATTAAATTTGATGTCTTCAAATAATTTATCTGTTTCATCATTGTCATTATTATTCTGATGTTGGTGTTGTTGTTGAATGTCAATTGAGGTTTTTTCATTTTGCAACCTCTTAGGCTGATTTTTATTGGATGTTAACAGTTTTGTTGCAGATTCAAGACCTTTAGTTTTCAGCTGTTGTTGACTGTTCAATACTGTTACTGGTGGTGATGCTGTGGCCAGTGGGATAGGTTTGGTCACTTCTGAGTGATTTTTGTTACTGTTATTAGGATTCTAGAACAAACGAAGGTAAAAAGAAAGACCAAAAAAAGGATAATATACACACATAAACAGTGCACGGTAGGGGATCAGCAACTTGACGATGAGGACTACAAATCTTTTAGTTTTCAGTGTTCAACAATATATAATCATAAACATCTCATCAGTAACAGTCTAGATCACTTTATTGGCACCTACTTTAAGCATTAGCACAATAGGAATAAAAATGATTACACAAATATGAGGACAGTATTATTGATTCACAAATCAAAAACACTCGAAAATTCTAGCGAGACATTTAAGCCAAACGACTAAACAGAGAGACCATTTTGGTCGTCATTTATAACGCTTGTACCTAACTTCACTTAGCTGTGATTTACGCGGTTGGGCAGCGTTAATATCCCTCGGAAAATACATGCTGTTGAGTGGTATGTTACCTGTAGAAGTGATAAACACACTGGGATTATATTATCGAACGATAAAGACTTAAACGCTGAGCATCAAAAAGATTACACAAGCGGTCAACAAATGGAAAATGTTTATCAAATAGGCCTTTATTTATTCAAACCGCCTAAAACAATGTAACTGGAACCTCATGGTGATAAACCAACAATGAACTACACCTTCCAACTGTAGAGAAAAAGAAAGTGAACAGAAATAGAATGATCAAAGTGAATACTAAAAAGAGAGCGGAAAAGCAAAGAGATTTATGAAGAGTAGTATGATTACCAAGATTTTGAAGAAGAAAGGCAATGATTCAATCTCGCCTAGTTTACTAGTTCACTAGCTACTAGTCGGTCATAAGGCCGGAAAAAGAGAGAAGGTTGGGCTTAGGGCTAGCAACCCTACCCCGGAAAACCAATCCGATCGCTAAAGAAACTTCAAAGCACAGACAAAATATAAAAAAATATAATAAACTTATTCCTTGCTGGAGTCGGAGAGACAAAATGATGCCGGTTGGTGAAAACCGTCGGGAAGCCAATTAACTGATGTGTCTTCACTTCTATTGATCAAAGCGAAAGTAAACATGAGGACATGGAATGTCCGCAACATGTATGAACTAGCAAGCTGCCCAGATTGTCGAAGAGATGAAAAAGTATAGCGTAGAAGTGCTAGGAATCTACAGATGGAATGGAAGTGGACTACCCCAACTGTCAACTGGAGAGTCGATAATCTGCTCCCGTTACCCAGACGACAAACATGAGCACACCACACTGAGTTTTGGAGTAGCTATCATGATGTCACAAGACCATCAAAGGCTATCAGGCAGAAGGAACCAATCTTCACCAGGATCATGACAGCAACATTCAACTAAAAAGGAAGAGAACTCACAATCATACGATGCTACGCTACGAAGCAACAAATAATGCAGATGAGGAGAAGAAGAAGGAATTCCATAAACCACCGCAATCAGTAATACACAAGACCCCAAACCAGTCAGCGTCATCAAACTTCTCATGGGTGAGATGCATGTCAAACTGGGAGCAGACAATACAGGAAGAGAACCAATCACGAATTGAGAAGCACTAGGTGAATTGACGAGTGAGAATGGAGAACTGATTGCAGACTTCTGCGCACTTCAAGATTTGGTGATTGCAGGCACTGTATACAAACACAAGGATATTCACAACGCAGCGACATGGATTTCAAAGAATGGACAAAATAAAAATCAGAACGACTGCATCTCAACCGATACAGCAACAACAAGAAGATGGCGAAATACAATACGAACATGTGCAGTGCACTGAAAGGATGAACAACAAAAAGAACAACTGAACACAACCTATAAAACACTACACTGGACAAAAAAGTCAAGAAGACTGCGCACAAAAAACAAAAGACACTTCTACAACACACTGGCAAGTGAAGCAGAACAGACTGCAGGTAGGAGAGAGACAGACACCTGACAACACTATATCAAATAACAAGCTTACTTGCTGTCCACGAAGAGATCAACACACATGAAACCAATCAATTAGTCAAGGAAACTTAGTTGCCACCAAACAGGAGAAACAAACCAAACGATGGGCTAACAACTTCAAATAACACTCTTCAATCAACCACCACCAACACCACCACCACCACTTGAAACTCATCTAGAAATACCACCAGCAACCCAGTCACAGAACTATCAGTCAACACAAACCCTCCGACACAAAAGCAGCAGTGAAGTCATGAACTCCATAAAGTTGCTGAAATCTGGCAAAGCAGCAGGGACAGATGCGATTCCCCCAGAAGCACTAAAAACAGACACACAGACAACAGCAGCGGACATGCTCACACCACTATTGCAGAAGGTTTGGAAGGAAGGAAAAGCACCTGCCAATAGATTCGAACAAGGGCTAACTTGTAAAACTCTCACACAAGGGTGACCTAAGTATTTGCAAGAACTGGCGTGGAATCATGCTCATGTCCCTGTGCACCCCAAGCAAAATATTAAGCCGCATCATCCTGGAGAGACTAAAAAAGTGCTCTGCATTCAAATTCACGACAGGAAAACGCTGACTGGCTTCAGAAAGTACAAATCATGTGCCGATCAAATTGCAACGCTACGCTACGCATCCTTGTAGAATACAGCATAGAATATCAGTCAACTCTCTACCTCAACTTCATCGACTTTGAAAAGGCCTTCGATAGCATACACCAAATGTAGCTTGCAAACTCCTTCAACACTTCGGTTTCAGTGTCACAAACCTTCACCAAACTCATTCAACAGCTATATGCTATGCTATATGATGCTACATACCAGGTGACTCACAATCCAAAGCTCAGTGATGCATTCAAAGTGAAGACAGGAGTAAGACAACGTTGCCCTTTACTATCACCAATCATCTTCCCCCGATTGTCGTCGACTGGACTGCATCGGGCAACAAACTACTGTGGGCAGAGAGAAGAGGGTCATACGCTGGATCGACCGATGAAAAGACACTAGAACAAGATTTCGATGCCCCCTCCACCCATCGCCCTCCCCCTCCCCACGATGATCTATGTCTAATGTCTTATCGCACAAACTCGAAGATCTACAGGCCAAAACTAACAAGTTCGCAAAAGAGGTGAGGCAACGAAGACAAGACTTCTTTCAGGTGAACGTAGAGAAGACAGAGGTGATGAAGATATCCAACCACCACCACCACCAACAACAACAACAACAACAAGCACCATCAATGGGAGAAATCTAAACGAAGTTGTCTCTTACACCTACACCTACACCCACACCTGCCTACCTAGGCAGCATAGTTTCAAATACAGGTGGTGGCGGTGGCAGTGGTAGTGAAGGCACAGATGAGGATGTCAAAGCCATGATCGGAGAGGCAGGAAGACAGGTCTTCATTAATCTGAATTCAATCAGTGTGGAGATCTACTGCACTACACTACACTACACTACACTACACTACACTACACTACACTACACTACACTACACTACACTACACTACACTACACTGCACTGCACTGCACTGCACTTCATTGCACTCAGCATAAAGCGTGAACAACATCCGGATTTCCAACACTAATTCAGTCAAGTAAGTCAGTGCTTCTTTGTGATGGTTGAGAGACTTGGTGCGTTACGGAAAGCATTTCCAACAAACTACAGACATACATCAGCAGTTGCCGCCTATGCTCACTCACTCAATACTGAATATCGATCAGATGGCCAGAATTACAGGAATAGGCAACAAGGAAGTTTGGCTGGCTGGCTGGCTGGCAACGAACCAACCAACAACCCATCACCCAACAAATATGCAGAAGAAAGTGGAAGTGGATAGGGTTGGACAAACACTGAGGAGACCATTCGGGAACATTACACGCCAGGCTAGGCCCTCGAGTGGAAGCTAAATGAGAAACGATGAGTTGGGCGTCCGAGGTGAGGGTGACATGGAGGAGATCATGTGATGAAGAAATGAAAGCTTGTGGGCAGTGTTGGAGCGAGGGTAGAAATACTGGAGAGAACAGGGTGAAATGGTGACGTGCTTCGGAGGCCCTATGTTCCACTAGAAACCAAAGGAGACATAATAATAAGTCAGTAATTTTTCGTAAGGCTGATGAAGTCATCAGTCAATAATCTCATGTTTTGGTGTCATTCACACCTAACTTTGTACCAGAATAACACAGCTTCAGATATTCTATCTCATGCAGTGCCAATGTGTACACACCAATGTACGGAAATTTCTGAGTCATACATATATCTACCGAAAGACTAATACGGATAAAAGAGACTAGGTATACGTAAAATATTTTATGAACTGTGGTATATCAGTATGTCTGTGCAGGATCATGATTGGCTAATTGACATTTACTCTGTTTGCATGGCAACGCCCAAATATGAAGTGGGTGTAGGAATGACTAAAAAACAAACAACAGGTACAGAGTTATGTGTGATTTATGAGTCAGATTACTCATTCGAAAGGTGAGTAAATGTTTAAAACAAATTTAAACAAAGAAGCATAGAAGAATGCGGAAAATGAATGATTATTTACACATAAAATCAGTTGTATTTATACGTAAAACAGAGGTAGATCGCAAGAACTGAGTGGTGAAAGATGAACACTTGAGAATACGGACTTAACCACCAATTAAAACTGAACTATTTCACACTAACCAGATAGATACTTATGCACTAAGGTTGTCTAAATCTCAGTAAGTGAGAGAGGACTCGAACTGGCTGAGAACCACCAGTGTACACCAAATCCCCACAATAATACATAACGACAACTTGTGAAATCAATAATTAAATAATTGACAAAGTTGAATGGGAAAAAAAAGTTCACCTGTGCTTATAAAGGTCAGAAATGTGAATATATGCTATTAAGTTGAGAACACAAAATAAAACTACTGATAAAACTCCAGCCCAATACTAGTACCCTTCCTTTTGATGACTATTCACTTTGTTGGAAATAAAAACCTACTTTCCACATAACAGTTTAAAGTGATATGAATATGAAATTGTAATATAAAACGAAATTCACTAGGTGAAAATTCACAATAATAGTGTAATTTAGTTACAACACAAAGACCTATTTACCAGACTACATGGCAAGGTCTACTATTTGCGAGTTAATGATGAAACTATTTGGAAACACAAAAACTTGATAGATGAAATGATTCGATGTCTTATTGAATAAAATGGGAGATGAAATGCTTAAATCATCCGATCACAGGTTACACTAACACAATCCACTTATCACTGTTAGGAAAAGTAAATATAAGATGATTATGAAACAATTAGTCCCTTTTATGTATTTGGATAACTTAATTGGAAAACGTAGTTCATCTGAAAAATGTAGTGTATTTACGCTATACATTTCGAGTAATCTGACCACATATTTCCTTGATAAGGCATTTTACGTGTGTGTGTGTGAGTGAGTGAGAGAGAGAGAGAGACAAGTATAACATGAAAGAATTTAGTAATAAGCAAGGTTATGAAGGGAGGATGATAAGTGTTGAAGACAAACTTGATTAGTACGATACATGTACCAATTCACATGTATGTGTGGCTACACGCAGGGAGGACTAATCGAGATATGCGCTTGAGGGTGGTGGAACGTGTACCACAATGGCTATAAAAGACGCTGGAATCACAAACATCAATAAGCCCAGGTGCAGACAATCATCATCACTCATTGCAAAACATATTATTGATAAAGGTCACGGGATTGATATTATAAGAGCCTTTACAATATTGTATAGGAACTTTGAGGGTTGTATGCTTAAGTATGTTGAAGCGATGGCTATATACAAATTTAAGCCTCCCCGCTTTGTTGGCCCAAAAACAGTTTGTCCTTACGCTAAACTTAACCTGGTAATATTTATCTTATCGTATCACCAAAGTCGTCTGTTAATTAAGTTATCCAAATTAGATGATTAGCCAGTCTTTCGTTGCGACAACAACAAAGAGAACATCAATCTGCTTAATTTAGAGTTTATTACTTTGGTAGGTTGTTTTAACGTGTAGCATTCAAAGAATAACCTTTCGTTAAACTAGTAAACTACTACTAGTTAGTAATTTTTATTCATATTTGAAAGATTATTGACTTGACGGCTATTGTTGATAACAAAATATCGGATATGAAAAACTATATTTGTAGGCAGGTAGTTAAGATGAGGCGATGAACGGTAGCTACTAGATAATACAGTAAACAAAAGGCGATTCGAAGAAAATTCCACTTTTCTTGTAGCTCCACAATTGTTCAAAAATATTTATTCTGTTTTTAACGCTAAAACATTATGGATGTAACAATCAAAATACTGAGAGACAAGTGACGACTATTCATATTACTAACGATTACAACTTCAGAAAACGACTTTTTCTTCTCAACAATCGTGATTATTGAAAAGGAAAGATTTAATGCTGATAACTGATTAGAGACGACAGCTTTTAAATTTTTTTCAATTGATGGTTTTTAATGACAGATAGACCAAATCAATGTAGAAACTCGTACATAGGTGCATCGACTTGAGTTACCACACCTCACGACAGTACACAAAGAACAGGTGGATAGAACAGAAAAGGAGTGATATCAAAGTAGACAAAGTTATGTGATAGAATAAACAATCTGAAGATAACGGTTAGTGAAAATATTTCAGCTTTAAAAGATGTCAAGGTGTGAATACATCTGCACCATTGTGACCGATTTCCAGCTGTCACCAAGAGTCATCAATCATCCATCCCTTTTGTCTCGGGGACCTCACCAGACAGTCTGCATTTCCCAACACAACTCAGACCAACAGTAAGAGACTTCATCGGCTGGTGCCAGGTCTTGGTCTAGCCACCCTGAACCCTTTCCATCCTAATCCCCAGCATGGCACGATGAAGTAGGGCTCGACATGCTTAGCACATATCCAAGCCATCTCAGTCGATTAAGGTTCCCCTTATAAACAGTACATACTTTATATTGTTGAGTGATGCAAATTAGGAGACAAAAGACCTGTTAATTAAAAACTAGAAGACAACAGAAACTAAAGACGCCCAACAGATAAAGAATCCTGTTAACTACTTTCAACCATTGAACATTTAGCACAGTTCGTTAAAGTTCCCCAGTAATTTCGATTAGATCAATGTTCTGTTTGAAAAAGTACATATATAGACACATTTTTAACAGAATTCAGTAATATGAATTCATGCAGACGATAGGCATTGTTAGGGAAACCGAAGAAGGTGCGATAAACTAATTGGTTAAATACATACAAGTGATTTAGCCTATTAGACAATAAAGTTCGATTGAGAAATGACAAAAATAGCAAAGATAAGTAGTTAATAATCATAAATCAAAATTTTTTTTAAATTCCAACTTACTACTTGTAACGTATTAGCCTTATTATTCGACTTGTTGCCTTTGTGCTTCTCTTCAGACATATCTAACTCAGAAAAAGACTGAGAATCAAACAGATTATCTGCAAAGAATAAAAAAAAAAGAAGAAACGGATAAGAGAAAAGTTGGGACATCATTTATGTGCAAATGTACAGTTTATCAAAATGATCAGTAAACATTGCGGTGAATTGATGAAGCTGGGGTGCGTCAAGCTGTTATATACAATCATTGTCAGTGAGTTGGCAAACGCTCACTTACAGCATATAGCATCGCTAATAACATGTTGAACGCTTAGAAGAAAATAAGATGTTTTAGTTCTCTCCATCGTCACCATCTAACCCTTCATAAACCATTGACCTCAGAATGCTACACAGAATCTAAACAAATAGTCATGAAATTTATGAACTGGTGTCAAGCTTCAAACTTCTAGTGTTTAACTAATGCAATTCACAGCTATTTGCAGGTTCTCCTATCAAGGAACAAGTCGCAGTTGTTATGCAAGAGATGATGATAATAACTTAGTCGCCCAATCAACAGAGAACGGGCCAGGGCTTGAACAAATAACCTATCAATTGAAAATCAACTGTCTACAATAATAAGTTACAACACCACTAGAATAATACTACAAAAAGAATATCAAATGGAAAAAGACTTGTTCTTTTACAGATTGAACATATATATATATTATATAAACGCTTTAAATCAATCCCACCTTTAATAATATACCTGTTTTAGAAATGTTGTGTGAAGTAAACTGTCGTTGACTGGAAAGGGGTAATAACGACCCTGTTGGAATGCACCTGTGTATGTGTAAACTCAGCTACTTGGACGGTGGTCATATTTAATTGTCAGCAAATAGGCATGCACTGCATTGAATTTGATGATGGGTGGCACAAACAAGAGAAGGGTACTAACCAAGACAGGCAAGTCAGCTTCTGAGGATGTGAACCTTCATCGGCCGAAGTGGCTTGGACATGTGTTGCGCATACAAAGTTACCACCGCCTACCTCTATGTGTAATGCTAGGGTTAGTTGGATTAGGTTGCAAGAACATTCAGGATGGGCAGACGAACACGTAGTACCTCTAGATGAGGTTCCTGACTCTTAGTCTGAGTCGTGTAGGGAGATTCAGGCTACCTGACTGGGATCCCCAAGAAGAAAGGAATCAGTGGTTGCGAACTCTTGGTGGCGTGGCTGGAAATTGGCCACAGTTACACCGATATATTCACTCGTTGACGTCTTCTAAAACTTGAATATTCGCACTAACTCTTATCTTCAAATTGCTTATTCTACTTTGATAACAATATCATTCTATCCACCTGTTCTTTGTATATTACTGTAAAGTGTGACAACTTAAACTGATGCACTTGTGTGCGAGATTCTTCTGTCTGTCAAACAATTATCACTATACATCAATCAGTAACTTAACATCCATACAAGGAATTACTGAAGCAAAGAAGAAGAAAAACATCGCTGACAAATACATATTACGCAAATGAGAGATTAATGAGATTCCCAGAGAACTGTAAAAATGAATGCTGCTTTAAATATAAACTGAAGTGATCATATGTGTGAGGCTGGATAATGTGCATCATAGGACTCCTTCTATTAAGAAATATGTTATTGTTATCGTAATTATTACCATAATTATGTGTGAAGAATTTAATTAGCACCAACATAGGATTTGGTATTACAGCCAGAGGATGCGACTAACCACACTTTACAACAGTAAATCATAAATCACACAGACAAGATGAAGCAAAGAGAAATTGAAAAAGTGTGATGACATTAGTCTGTGGAATGATGAGTCTTCAGCCTTACTTTGATAGATAAAAGTAAATTAAGTGCTTCATAACTTGTGTAGCCTCAAGCTAAGACAAAAATCGGCAACAGATGGTATACTAACTCGAAAACCATTAAACTTGCTTAGACGAAGGAGACGTACTTCTACAAGCATCATAGATAGCTGTAGCCTAACCCTGAGAATTAGAAAGAGATATTAAATTATAAATCATCGTTTGGAAAACAACAAATTTATGATGGGAAAGTGGATCAAGGTTAACGAATGACAGAATTAGGAATGACACCTTCTGTTCTATAACGCAATAGCATAAAGCAGCGAGTACCATAACAGTGAACTACTGGTTGTCTTACATATATATGAAAAGACACCTTTTCCATAAAACAAGATATACATACCAAAAATAAAGAAGTATTTGCAAACTTCTGCGCCTTCAATGATTTCGTGATTGGAGACAGTGTGTACAAACACAAGGATATTCACAACGCAGCGACATGGATTTCACCAGATGGACACACTAAAAATAAGTGGAGATGCAGCTTACATAACACAAGAACAAGCAAGGGAGCAGATGTAGGTTCACACCACTCATTATCTACTGAAAACAAACTACCCTCAAATCAAGTTGAAAGCCTTCAAAGATGTTGGTGACAGACCACAGTTCAAGTTCAACACCCAGAACAGAAACTGAGCAGAAGGACGAAACTACAAAGGAAATCTTCATATCACTCAGCCATCAGAACAAAATCGGAAACACTGAAAAACATCCCGGAAAGAACCTGCAAGCAAAAACACTGGAAATCTCTGCAACAGACGTGGAAAGAAACATGAATAACCCTATTAGGAAGGAAGACGAAACAAGACAAGGAATGGATATCATCAGACACATGGAAGCTGATACAGGAGGCAGAGGAAGATAATGAAACAGAAGGTGAACATGTGCAGTGCACTGAAAGGATGAACAACAAAAAGAACAACTGAACACAACCTATAAAACACTACACTGGACAAAAAAGTCAAGAAGACTGCGCACAAAAAACAAAAGACACTTCTACAACACACTGGCAAGTGAAGCAGAACAGACTGCAGGTAGGAGAGAGACAGACACCTGACAACACTATATCAAATAACAAGCTTACTTGCTGTCCACGAAGAGATCAACACACATGAAACCAATCAATTAGTCAAGGAAACTTAGTTGCCACCAAACAGGAGAAACAAACCAAACGATGGGCTAACAACTTCAAATAACACTCTTCAATCAACCACCACCAACACCACCACCACCACTTGAAACTCATCTAGAAATACCACCAGCAACCCAGTCACAGAACTATCAGTCAACACAAACCCTCCGACACAAAAGCAGCAGTGAAGTCATGAACTCCATAAAGTTGCTGAAATCTGGCAAAGCAGCAGGGACAGATGCGATTCCCCAGAAGCACTAAAAACAGACACACAGACAACAGCAGCGGACATGCTCACACCACTATTGCAGAAGGTTTGGAAGGAAGGAAAAGCACCTGCCAATAGATTCGAACAAGGGCTAACTTGTAAAACTCTCACACAAGGGTGACCTAAGTATTTGCAAGAACTGGCGTGGAATCATGCTCATGTCCCTGTGCACCCCAAGCAAAATATTAAGCCGCATCATCCTGGAGAGACTAAAAAAGTGCTCTGCATTCAAATTCACGACAGGAAAACGCTGACTGGCTTCAGAAAGTACAAATCATGTGCCGATCAAATTGCAACGCTACGCTACGCATCCTTGTAGAATACAGCATAGAATATCAGTCAACTCTCTACCTCAACTTCATCGACTTTGAAAAGGCCTTCGATAGCATACACCAAATGTAGCTTGCAAACTCCTTCAACACTTCGGTTTCAGTGTCACAAACCTTCACCAAACTCATTCAACAGCTATATGCTATGCTATATGATGCTACATACCAGGTGACTCACAATCCAAAGCTCAGTGATGCATTCAAAGTGAAGACAGGAGTAAGACAACGTTGCCCTTTACTATCACCAATCATCTTCCCCCGATTGTCGTCGACTGGACTGCATCGGGCAACAAACTACTGTGGGCAGAGAGAAGAGGGTCATACGCTGGATCGACCGATGAAAAGACACTAGAACAAGATTTCGATGCCCCCTCCACCCATCGCCCTCCCCCTCCCCACGATGATCTATGTCTAATGTCTTATCGCACAAACTCGAAGATCTACAGGCCAAAACTAACAAGTTCGCAAAAGAGGTGAGGCAACGAAGACAAGACTTCTTTCAGGTGAACGTAGAGAAGACAGAGGTGATGAAGATATCCAACCACCACCACCACCAACAACAACAACAACAACAAGCACCATCAATGGGAGAAATCTAAACGAAGTTGTCTCTTACACCTACACCTACACCCACACCTGCCTACCTAGGCAGCATAGTTTCAAATACAGGTGGTGGCGGTGGCAGTGGTAGTGAAGGCACAGATGAGGATGTCAAAGCCATGATCGGAGAGGCAGGAAGACAGGTCTTCATTAATCTGAATTCAATCAGTGTGGAGATCTACTGCACTACACTACACTACACTACACTACACTACACTACACTACACTACACTACACTACACTGCACTGCACTGCACTGCACTGCACTTCATTGCACTCAGCATAAAGCGTGAACAACATCCGGATTTCCAACACTAATTCAGTCAAGTAAGTCAGTGCTTCTTTGTGATGGTTGAGAGACTTGGTGCGTTACGGAAAGCATTTCCAACAAACTACAGACATACATCAGCAGTTGCCGCCTATGCTCACTCACTCAATACTGAATATCGATCAGATGGCCAGAATTACAGGAATAGGCAACAAGGAAGTTTGGCTGGCTGGCTGGCAACGAACCAACCAACAACCCATCACCCAACAAATATGCAGAAGAAAGTGGAAGTGGATAGGGTTGGACAAACACTGAGGAGACCATTCGGGAACATTACACGCCAGGCTAGGCCCTCGAGTGGAAGCTAAATGAGAAACGATGAGTTGGGCGTCCGAGGTGAGGGTGACATGGAGGAGATCATGTGATGAAGAAATGAAAGCTTGTGGGCAGTGTTGGAGCGAGGGTAGAAATACTGGAGAGAACAGGGTGAAATGGTGACGTGCTTCGGAGGCCCTATGTTCCACTAGAATCTAAAGGACAAATTAGCAAGTACGAATAATAATAGAGATATAAATTAGAATAAATACACGACAATACTATTCGTCAGAAAGTGAATTAGATTTAATTGTCGCACAAATCACTGCTTATCACCAATTTTATAGAATATACAAGACAAGGTTATAGACTCGATTTTATTTGTAGGAGTTTCATTTTTATTGTTAATGGGATCAAAAGTTGATTTAAACAATAAGCGATATGATTTATGTTAAATGAAATTTGAACCTTTTAAAAAAATAATAAAGCTTTGAACACTGAAATTCGAGTTAGAAGTTAGTCATAAAAGACTGTTTTTAAAGGTGATTTCGAAAGCAATAGACGCCAGTCGACTGAACAATGAACTTATAATAATTTTAATCATAAACTGTTTGGCACTCACTAGCCATGTATCGATTTGGGACACTGAGCATCTAGTGTACTTCATCCTTGCTGGCTGGAAATGCTGACAAAGTAATTTAACCGAAGCAGCTGAAACGATCCACCAACTCGTAGGCCAATAAAATGTAGCTGAATTTCAACCAGTAGGTAATAGGTTCCAGACCTGGTTTACCT